AAGAAAGTGCGCGACGCACATGTTAATTGAAGGCCTGCGCAAATAGAACAGGAGCCAGCGTCGGGGCGTGTGTTGCTGGGAATCCTTGCAATTACATACACCAGCCAACAATGCAACAACAAATTTACACAGTAGAAAACGAATTACTTGTTTTCCGGTTTCACGTTTTACAGCTGCCTAAAGCTGTTATTAAATGCGAAATTCCGCGAATATGAAAAACAAATCTGAATTAAATAAACGTAAGCTTGAAAGGCGATTTTATTTCGCAAAATGAAAAACGTCGTGCAAAAATATGTGTTATTTATCAGAGATATTTATTTTTGTAAATACTTGGAAAAGAAAAACAGTCGCATGCTATGTAAGCGCAAAGATGATTATATTCAATGCGAGTTCTTTTGAAACACATATTTTGTACTTAAACGACTTTACAAATGCCCTAAAGCAATGTGTACATACGCAAATTATGGTTTTTTCTGAACGAAACATTCTTGAAGGTAAAAAAAATTCTGAGGATAAATCAGAATTAAGCGTAAGCCTGAAATTTAGCTTATCTATCTAATAACATATAATGTGTCAAGCTATATTTGTGTGAATAATATAACAATTGCTGATATAATAATTGGTAGACATTTTGAAATCAATAAGTCTTTAATTCAAAAATAAATGTTATAGTAGTATATTATATAGTATTCCAATGCGGATGATAGATTAGCTATATCCGTTTGACTCTTAATACTGTTCAATAATTTAACTATATATAAATATACTTTATGGGTACGGAGACTTCTTCTACACATACCCTGACAACACATTATGCTCAGCAACGATCGACGATTTTGATTTCTATAAAATAAAGCATGTTATCATTGGTTTTCACATTTTAAAGCCATAGCTATTTTCTCACAGTGTATGAACCTTAGAGCATCTTCTAATTAGGTTATGTTTGATTGTTGTAATATGCAACCGGAATCTAGGCGCTCGGTGTCGTCTCTCTACATATCCACATATACCTCTCTCTCTCGCTCTCCCTGTCTTGCCCTCTTTCCCTTTCTGGTCAATGGCCGAGCGCAATGGCGAAATTGGCGTCCGCCAATGGAATTTAATCAAGTTTTATTTGCACTAGTTGGCAAAGGATGAGCAATGAGCAGGGCACACACACACACACACGCACACACCCTGGGTGTGTGCCATATAGGGCAATAAAGTTTCGTTGATGTGAGTGTGTGTGTGTGTGTGTATTTGAGTATTGATTGTCATAATTAAACGCTGCTATTGCTGTTCTTCCTGCTGCTGTTGCTGCTGTCTTCCTTGATGTTGCACGTACTTTGCTGTCTCCTATTGTTGTTGTTGCTGCTGTGCACAGCTGCTGCAGCGAGTTTTGTTACTGCGCTTTAAAAAGTTTGTTGATTGAATGCAACGCTGCACAATTGTTGCAAAGGCCAGCCATAAAGTGGTCTTATGCTACCCACCCCGGCCGCCTAGGAGCCGCCTGCCCACAAGAGTTTTATAGCTATTCTTTTGTATGCTCTGTGGATTAGTTCTTCATTGTTTAGCTGCAAGCGTGGCGCTCTGCAGATAACATACAGCACGCACACACGCACACACACACACACACGCACGCAAAGATTAAGAAATGCAGCGAGACATTGGGGCAGGGTTGGGGGCGTTGTGATGTGTGCGAATGGGACTGATAGGTGGCGCTGCAGTCGCAGCTGCAGCTGTCGGACTAAGTAGTGGGAGTGTACTCTAGCCTAAGTGGGCGTGGCAAGTTTTGAATAGCACAGCATAGCTAACTAGCTGATTTAAAGTCGAGCTCATACATTATGCTAAAGCAGCTACTAAAAAACCCATATCAGAAAAATTAAGAACATGCAGCAAATAGAGGGCTTTCTAGGCAAAGAGATTAAAAAGATTCCCATCAGGGCAATAAAAGAAAACTACTTTAATGTTACAGCCATCACACATGCTTTTAATGTTGCTTTAATTATAAGTTATATAATACCCACAGATCTATATCAGCAATCAATTTGTATTTGTAGTAGGCTAGGGTTTAGTGATACACAGTTCAGAGTTTGCAAGACTAAAAATCTCTCTAAGTTCTGAAATCAAACAATTCAATAATAAAATGAAAATAATATACTTAAACAACTTAGCACATATGATGCTTTGGAATTATAGTTTTCGTAAAAAGATTTGATTCAGCATCGAAACCTTTTCTAATCCACGTTATCTTTATCAATCAATTATTTAGCTCGCACACTAAACAACCGTAAATGTCAATCTTAACTAGATGCCAAATTACTGTATTACAGGCTTGTCATGGGCTTGGATTTAAAAGCAGCTGTCAGTAGTAATCATTTAGGTAATACACAGATTTAATATGCTTTACTGACCCAAGTACGCCTGCCTATCTTAATCAGATCTTAATTACCCAACTCTCAATCTTTCAATCTTTCAATCTCGGATTGCCAGTACGTATTGGTGCCTTTATCAAGACCCTAACAATCTCACAGCTGCACTTCCGATTGCTTTTACACCCGTCAACCCCCTTTTTACACTCAATGTGTGCGTAGCCATTGGACAGGGTCCGAGCATTTTCCACATTTTCATTTAGTTATTACATTCATTTGCTTATTTATTTATATTCCTCTAGCACGCGTATTCCAATTCGAAGTATTTCTACTAGGCTTTTTTATTAGAATTTTTTTTTTTCGGTCTGTGCCTTTTGTTGTCAATTGTTGCTGGGCTATTGACAAATATTACGCTGAAGTCTCCACCCCTCTGCCAACCATGGCGCCCCCCCGGGCAGTGTCGTTGTTATGATTATTGTCTGAGGCATTGTCAGAGGCCGTTTTCTATACCCACAACACGTACAGAGTCTACGTTGTCGTTGTAGTCGTATAATACGTTATTTGCATGAAATTACTTGTGCAAGGGGGCAGTGTGGGGGGTGGGTGGATGGGTGTGTGTGTAAGGGTGTAACTGCCGCCCGTTCAGGTCCTTGGTTTATTAGCATGCTCCAGAGATTAGACGTTGCCGGCAAGGACAACATTTGATTTCTTTTTCGTTTACACAAGCTAGCCGAACCACCCACCCAATCCCCCACACCCACACACACACAAAACAGTCCAAACAAACCCCCGAACCACCCACAGACAGACAGAGACGACTGGGCTAATCAGCACAAATGCCAAAATACAAAAGCCAAATCGAAAGTAAAAGCAAATCAGAGCGGAAAATAAAAACGAACAGAAAAAAAAAGAAAGAATGTCTCTAAAGAACTTCCAATTGGAAGTTGAACTCCGCCCCGCGGGCGGTTCCATAGCACTGCAAAAAGACGTCAATCACAAGAATCGACGAGAAAAAAAAAATGGAAAAAATTTGATATGCCTTCTAGGTTGTTGTATGCCTTTCCTATTTTGTTTTGTATGAGTTGAGGTTTATTGATTTGTTTCCTCCGTTTGTCTGTCTGCCTGTCGGTCTGTCTGATATTTGGCATTTGAAATGCGAGCAGACCAAAATTTTCCGGGGTTGTCCCAAAAAAAAAAAAAAAAAACAAATGTTGAGCCAACGTGTCTGGTTTGCTACGTCGCTCCTTTGATGTTGGATAAACCCAAGCAGCGGATTAGCCGCTCAGCGATTTAAGTGATTGTATATCTTACAGATATACGATTTAGACGAACGCTTTACCCACAAGAAAAAAAGAAGAAAGCCAAGCAAGTGCCGAGATTTAACAGCTACGGCTAAGCTCCTAAGTGGGTGTGCCAGGTGAGCATCAGTTGGCGTCGGAGTAGAGACAATTGAGAGAAGTTTCCTCTCAGTACTTCCCTTTCTCTCTCTATCTTTCAGTGTGAGTCTCAAGTTTGTCCTTGCTGTTTAAAGTGATTTGTGATGCTTTCGAGTGCTTGAAAGTTGTTTTCTTTTTGGGTAACTTGGCAGTGGTTTTTATGGTTGTTTAGTTGGCAGTTTAGCTCTCTGTGCGAGATAAGGCCAGTAAAAGTTCGAGATTGAAGATGCGTATTGTTGCAATTGTAATGTGAGTGCTTCGGTTCTGATTGTTGCGTCGCACTCGCCTTTTTTTCTCCAACAAGTTTTGCCCTTATTCAATCGCCAAATTCGACAAATGAATCAACTTTAAGTGTTGAAAACTCCGCGGAGTATGTAGCTTTTATTACGCATTATATTATCTGTTTTTCCAAGGTATTATATACGTAAGCTTTTTGTTCGTTGTGAGAAAATTGTAAATATCTGTGCTATCGTATTCCGAAAATTCTTTCGAGATTATAAAAATATGCTCCTATTCGTGGAATTCCAATGTAGCATAATATAGTGGTTGATAAGGCTTAAAATCATTCTCAAAACTCTACAATTCAAAATAATGAATGGGTGACTTAGCGATTTTTTAACTCCACCCCACGAAAGGAAATCTGAGGTAGATATTTGCAACATTTTGTTTTTGTTCCGTTTGACTTTATGCTTATTTTTTTGTGTCTATGAAAAATGTGGAAAAATAATATAACTTCTGAAAGCCAGGTAATCCTCGGTTCGGAGGTTTTAAGTTGTGCAAATAAAACGCGTATTATCAGGAAGAAACACAAATTTCACGCAGCTTTTATTTTGGTAAGGACCCGCTCAATGCTTCAATTTCTATGCTAGAAATAAACTTCGTAGTTTGAACACAAATAAATTGCGTTGTAAAGACTGAAACAAATTGTATTTGCCATTTAAATTGCGTTGTTTTTTTGAATATCATTCAAGTGAAACTGAAGCTGGGTTTTGATTAACAATAAGTAATTTGTTTACTCAATTTCGTAGCTTATGCTGTATCTGTCCAAGTGCCACCCAAACTAAATCCTAAATAATTAAAGAGCCCATTTAGATTGCAATTAAACCCGACAAAAAAAACACACACACAACAATAAGAGAAAGAAATCCCGAATTGTTGTTGTTGCTAATATCAAACACAAATAAGTAGGATATATATTATAATGAATACCAACCTTGTTCAGCAGCAGAGATCCTTGGCTATGCTTAACTTAAATTCCGGAGAAGCACAACAAAAAACACGACGACGGCAACAGCAAAACAACAAAAAACACAAAGCAATTAGCCGAAATGGACGCACGAGCAAATATCTGGAAAAAAGGTAAGAAAAAAAGACAGCAAAAGGTAAAATATTTGCATTAGTTGAGCTGGGCGCAAAAGGTGTAGCAAATATGTACATAAAGACACAATACAAATATAATACACGGAAAATACAATGCCAGGGCGCCAAGGCTAAGGCACCTTTGAGACAAAAAACAAAAAAAAAAATTAAGAAGAGACGGCAAAACGAGGGTGCCGACGATTTAATACACTTGCCGAGACAGGTTCATGTTTTAGCAATAAAATCCCTGCCACAGAATTGTGGTTTTCTTGCAACACTTCATAAGCGATTGGTGACTTTCGTCTAAGAAAATAAGAAGGAAAAAAATAGTTACTCCTTCCTATGGAAGGAATCTTTAGTTTTATTTGTTACACAATTCAAAATTTGTATATACGTTATAATATCTGTAAAATCAGGACTAGAAGACTAATTTAAATTTGTCGGTTGTTCAGTTCACGGATATCTTGTAAATAGTATAATATCTTGCTCATAGTACAAGATAGATTGTAATTTAAAATGCTAGACATCGAAGGCTGAATACCCTTGTACACAATTGCTTTACGGTTTGGCAGATATGTCAGAGTAATGATGCTTCAGAATGCTGAGTTTGATGCACTTCAAGAAAAATTTACAGAACCCTCCACAAGGGTATACAAAGCTGAACTATCAGATGACATATATAGAAAATGCTTCCACCAATACTTGTATAACCTGTATAATTAACTTGGGCTCAAAACTGAGGGTCTTAGAAATAGACTGGCACGCAGACGGACATAAAACATAGGCTCGGCCTTTGTTGATAATAATTGGTAAAACACGTCTATGCGTAAACCCTATAAGGTCCGAGAATTGCCTGCTACGATGCGTCACACAAGCAAGCGTACAAAAAGAGAGAGAGGAGAGAGAGAGAGAGAGAGAGAGAGAGAGAGATGAGGAGAGAGAGGAGAAATCCTTTTTAATTTCTTTAGCGCGCGGCAATTGTAATTTGTATCTGAGAACTGCGACTGCTGTTTGCGGCAGCCAAATAAAGTTATAAAGGCATAAAAACGCGAGTGTAAATAAAAGCGGCACGCCAACAGGCAACAAAAACCAAAATCATTTCTAAGTATAAACATGAGTAGAGCCGAAAAACTGAGCCAGGACTGGAGGGAGAACGTAGTGCTCCGCGTCCGTTTGAGAACCACAGAAGTGCGTTGCTGTTGCACATAAAATTTCATTGATTACATTTGTTTGTGCGTTAAATGCCCTGCTCACAGGTCCTGGCCTGTGTGTGCGAGTCTCTGTCTGTGTGCGTGTGTGCCTAGGCTCGTTTCCTGTTTACACAGGCGTCGCGTCCTGTGTGTGTGGCAGGCTCTTTAACCTGAAGTCGCACGCGACGTAATGAAATTCATTGCCGCACAACAAACACGAGAAATGGTCGAAATATCTGTGGTTGGGGTTATTTAGGGACCATATGCATATAACCAAATACCTAGAATTATGTGCTCTTTGTGTGCACCCAGAACTATTTAAAATGCTATTTATATGCAAATACTTTAGGCACAAAAAAAACATACTCTCTCGAAAAAAAAAAACAACATTAAAATATGTCGCGGGGGCGGCGGTTGTGCAATGTGCATTTCACATTCTGTTCGTACAACTGTTTAGTTTTCACTAAATCCTCATTAATTAGTAGCATTTAAGGCGGCATTTTGTGTTGTGCCAAGCGCTCTAGAAAAAAATACACCACGCCCCCATTTTCCCCTCAGTGCAACCCCAAAACCAACGCCGCAGCGTTAAAGCTACTTAGCATAAGGCCAGCGCACAGAGAGCTGCATGCACAGTGGTGCGAGCAGCTGCAAACAGGTGTTGAAAACTAGGCCCCATTAAATTAGTCAATAAGTGGCCGTAGCTTTGCTGAATTAGCCTGGCCAAGTGATGCATGAAATGAGCAGGTGTTTGGACTTTACCATGCGGCAATTATCGGACCTGGAAGTGATTACAGATTTATAGAGGGACAGAAATATATAAATTAGGCTAGAAATTAACACAATAAAAAAAGGTTGTTTATTGAACTGAAACTATTTTCAGATGTTGGTTTTACAGCAATTCAAAGAACGATCGAAACATTTTTAGCCAAGCAGAATAACATAAGAATTAAAAAATACTTTATATATGTATGTAGTTTCTTTGGTATAGAATCAAAATTGTAACTTATAAGAATTTGAAATCATGTATTTTTATTATTTCATTATATTATGAGCATTTAAATTTGTCCCAGCTGACTCGCGAATTGAAATTTTCCTATCGGTTTGAGGATTCTTTATACTATTTTAGATTATTAATAATTACTTTTAATATGACCAAAATTTATATATTAAAAATGTGTTCAATCTGATTGGTAAGACTTTGTAAGATGATTCATATTATTCTAAGCAGTTTGATTAGGCAATTGAAAATTAAATAATATATACATTAAATATTATTAATAGATACATGATTTTTGATAGCAATAGTTAGCAAGTAATTATGCTTGGATGTCAAAATAAAATCAACTTAATTCTGAGTCTTTTTTTAATAAATTCCGTGTATTGTCCTACTTTCCAGTCAATTTAATTAAAGCTAATTTGCTGAAATCCTTTCCACCACTGTGCCCATGTCCTTGCTGGCTATAAAAGGCACCAGACCCCTGTCCTAAATGTAGGCAAAACCAAAAAAAATAAGCACTCAAAGTAAAAAAGAAAATTCCAACAGCTCTTTTGCGCCCTTTTATGCCACTGCACACACACAACAACAACAACAAATGGCATGGGACAAGCAGCGAGGCATTTGCCTGCATTTAATAACGTTTAGTTTGTGGCTCTGTAAATGTATCTGAGTATCTGCATCTGTGTGAAAAAGTGGAAAAACATGGCACTAGCAAAACAACAACATAGAAAAACATTCGAGCATTCAAAATGATATGGGAAAACACACGCACATATGAAAATTTACCCATTTTCTTTTTTGTTTCTTCCCATTTCCCAAACGCTGGCAACGCATTAATTTCATTCACACTTCGGAGCAGCATTTCAAAAAATATTTAAGGCAAATATGCAATAACGGCATGTTGGGAACAATAATATTTGTCTAGCGGAACGAAAAAAACAACAACACCAAAAATATGACCCGAAAGGGCGCATTGCGAGGGGGATGGGCTGCTAGTGAGGTGCGAGCTGAGTTGTGAGAAGCACGCGCATAAAAACGGAACGTTCTTAAATACGTTGTTGTTGTTGTTGCTGCTGCTGCTGCTGCTGCCGCTGTTCGATAGGGCCGGCCTAGGCCCTTGATGCAGGGTCGCCCCGAAACGTTTGTTTAACAATTGAAATATACGTACAACAGCAGCCACGTCGCATAAGTGCAATCCTACCCAATACACTGAGAGAATTCTACATCACAATATGAAATTAAAGGGCTCATATAAGAATTCACCATGCTAACAATTTTGCGATATGGAATTACGCCCAGAATAGACGATCACAAAGCGCATAAAAGAATTTTACAAAAAGACGAAGAATAATAACAAAACGACTTAAAAACATTAATGATTTAAATAAAATACTTCTCATTTGAACCACAAATGTAAATCATAATTCTAATGTTTAATCTCCAGTTTATTTACATTATAAAAAAGTATTTGATATCAAAATTTTGCTCAGTGTAAACCAAAAAAACGTTTGGGCCCAACTCTGTTTGCATTTGTCTTGCGTTTGCCTTGATCCCTAGACCCATTAGTGTACCTTGCACACGGTAGCTGCCCCAGCGCCGAATTCCACTCGCAACCCTCTACAACAGCAACAGCAGCAGCAGTAGCAGCAGCAGTAACAACAGCAGCAATAAAAATAACAACAACAACATCGTGTCACGGTGTTTGGGATTTTTCAATGTGTAAAACTACCTGTCGCTGTTGTTGCTACTGAAACTCCGACTGCCTGGCTGGCTGGCTGGCTGGCTGGCTGGCTGGCGGATTGCCTGGCTGACTGGCCCCGCCTGGCATTCGCTTTGAGCCGGGTGAAACTATCTTTTAACACGCACAACGCATTATACGAGCACCTTGCATGCACACGTCACAGCTAGCACAGCCCCACAGAGAGAACCTGCCCTGGCACACTACGCCTAGATTCCAGCGTATTTTCCCCGTGTGTGCTTTTTATGCCCTAACCAAGGGGTATTACACATTTGCCATGCAGTCAACTTCGAATGAGATGGTTTTATATCGTAAACATAATATATAAATCTGCTTGATCAGCATATAGGACTGGTCTCTATCGATCGGCTTCTTTGACAACGAGAGTCTCAGTTAAAATATGTTGGAATGGGCAGGATTAACATATTGACTACAATAACTCCATATTACAAAATCTTGTAAAAATAAAGAACCTCTCAGTTATTATCTTAACTTTTTTTTTAAACATAATTTAGGATATAATAAAAAGAAAGGAATATCTTCTTGTTTCCGCAAATACAGGACAGCAATGCTTCATTATTTTGTTTATAGAATTGTTTTTTTTTTTTTTTTTGAAGCTGGAGTTTTTGTCATTCAATATGAATATGAATTCATATTTTAATACTATTTAGACAGTTTCCTAATATTACAAGTCTTGACAAATGAAGCTGCCGAAGATCAAAGTCCTCCATCTAAAGTTTCACAAGAGTATTTAGACTTCGGAGCATGTGCTTTTCACTTGTTTTGCCTTTTGTACAGCCGCTGCCACGTGAATTTTATTCCTGCCACAGCAACGCGACTCTCGACTGCCGACAGTCGACTCTCCAACTTTGCTGACGACATTTGTTGGTGTTGCCTTTGGTTTCTTTAGTTTTTTTCTGTGCAGTATTTTTTGGTTTCTTCGCAGTGGCAATGGCTGTGAGGTAGGTATTTTGGTTGGGCTTTGCTCGCATTTGCGTTGGCTTTTCTTTTCAGTTTTTATTTCAGTTAAGTGAAATGTGCATAGCAATGGGAGGGACAACGAC